GCCATGTGTCCGTTCCAGAACAGGGCCATTACCATCAAGTCCCCCCTTCACAACTGTGAATGGAGAAGGAGGGCTAATTTTCTAGGGAGATCAAGAAACAAAAGTGTTAGCCAATCGCTTAGGGTGAAAGACAACAGAATTTTTATTGGCATCAATGGTTGATTTAGATAAATCAGCACTTCAACTAAATATTAGCACTTTATACAAATTCATGAGCTTGGATACAATTAGGACCTGTCAGTCAGTACAAGTATTAGTTCATTCACTTTTAATGCCAAGAACACAGGGATGAACATTTGCTATAAATTAAGTCTTTTAACTTGTAAGTTAGCCAGTTAGGAGTATCGAAAACCAGCCTTGACATATTTCAGGTAAACTACATAAAAGCAGAATAGTATATAGACATAGAAATAAGGATTTGCATATGCAAGCAATTATACAAGTAATACTTCTCTCAGCATTCTCATGTGTAGGTTCCGGAACTGCAAATTAAAACATACTCCATAGTTTGCAACAAAGGAAATAAAAATAAATAAAACCCTAGCTTCACAAATCTCACGTGTACGTACGTATATGAGCTCATTTTTCCTATATGTGAGGGAAGGGGGAATAAGGTTTTACCGGGGGAGGGGTCATTTTGGAGACTTCGAGATAGTGATCTTTGAGGGAGCGGAGAATAATGCTGTTTACGGCGGTTGAACCACTAGATGAGGACGACGACGACGAAGACCGCCGCGCGACTAAAGCGTGGCAGGAGTGCTGTTGCCGGAGCGCGCCGGCGGCGCTTGTTAGGGCTCGCCTCAACATTTTGTCCAAAGTCGTGTATTTTCCAGTCGCCTGGAGTGCTGCTGAACTGCCAGATAAATTTTAGCTCCGGCAACGGCGAGCCGCGAGCGGGAGAGTTGAGTTGTTTACTCTCTGCCTTTGAAATGGACGATAATGTCCTTGGACCTTAGGGCATCTACGTCTCCAACTATTATCCCTTTTATCTCCCCCATTTTTATGGGCTGAACTCCTTGATATCACTATATAATTTCATCACATATTTTTTTCTCCAATCTTTCTTTTTTATTTTCTTCTCATTATAGGCCATCATTATGGGCAATTTATATCGTGCACCACGGCGCACATAGCAATGTGTGTCTTGGCACAAAACGCGAGCGTTTCTTGCTGACGTCACTCTGTCCGTCCGAACAGACCAAACCCCATTATGTGTATTCAGTTAAAAGTTTATGCGTATTGTGTTATGAATTTATGTGTATTTAATTAAGAGTTTATGTGTATTATGTTAACCAAACCCCATTATGTGTATTCAGTTAAAAGTTTATGTGTATTATGTATTATGTTAGATTATGTGTATTCTGTTATGAATTTATTTGTATTCTGTTATGAGTTTATGTGCATTCGAAATAGAAGATTTTTTTTTAACAACTTAACAAAACGACGTCGTTTTGGGAGGCGCGGGGCGCACAGTGCTATGTGCACCGTGGTGCACGGTATAACGATTGATCATTATTGCATTGATTGTGATTTACACACTTATTATGTGGACCACAATCTAAAAATACATAAAATATATTATTTTAACTCATAAAATATATTATTTTAATATCTTACCCCATAAATTTCATTATAATATATAAAGTACATTATTGTAACTCATAAAATGTACTATCTTACCTTATAAATTCATTATTCTGACACATAAGCGCACATAGCACGGATTATTGTTTTTAACGTCAAAACGTCGTTTTAGACCGTGATTGTGGGGACCAATAATTTGCCTATTACAGGCCATACTTCTTCATACTCTTACACCTCATTTATTATTTTATTTATTTTTTATAATTAATAATTTCAACTTTATAATTATAACTTTTAATTTTGATTTTAAATAAAAATAAACTTAAATAACGAAATAAATACTTTTTGAATTATAAAATATAATTTCATAAATTTAATTCAAGCAATTAACAACATATTAAAATTCTCATTCGAAATCATATATGAAACAAAATAAAATCTGAAATTGAATAGAATTAATACAATTACAAATTAATTATTGTTAATAACCCTTATGTATTCAACCAAGTCTGCACGAAGTTGATGATATTACTTGAGAATTGCGTAACTTGGAATTCCTACAAAAGTATTCTTGAAAGTCTTTGGGCAAGCCGTGAACCAGTTGTGTTGTCGTTACCGTCATCGTCCAACCAATCGGTTATGTCAACCCACAAATCTTGAACAATCATGTTATGCAAAATAATCCATGTATACATTAATCTTTTAAGTCGTCCTTATACCAAAATTGTGATGGGCTTCTAATCATTGTCCAATGAGATTGAAGAACCCCGAAAGCCAGCTTCACATCTTTTCTTGTTGAGTCTTGAAGTTCGCTAAACTTCTTTCTCTTTCCTTTGGACCTCATAAGCTCTTCACAGAGCATGACCATTGTGGATAAATTCGATTGGTTAGATAGTACACTCTATTATATTGTGTGTCTTTGACATTAAAGCTAACTTCGGGTGCACGTCTATGTAAGACATCATTGAACAATGGTGTTCATTGCGAGATCCTGCAACTCAAAAAAAATGCATATCAAATCCATAAGTCTTGCAAGTTGGCACTAATGCATGCCAAATCCATAAGTCTTGCAAGTTGACACTTTGTGATCACTGGGTGTGAATTGTCCCAGCTTCTAGGATACTACGTAATTTCGCCACTTTTAGTGCATACAATTAAACTTTCCAACATTCTAGGGAATTTGTGTCCCTATTCATGCATATGAACTAATCGTTCGATATCAGCTGGGAGGAGGGAGGGGGGGTCTTCGCAAGAACTGGCCTCCAAATACTTGTAACATGGCACGACAAAAGTTAAGTACGCATTCAATGGCAATTGATTCACCCATACATAGATACTCATCCATTACATCAACTAGTAACTTGTATGCTAACTAACATGGTAGTAGTGCATTTTTTAAGTGGTGATAAATTTCTTCTTCCGACAGCATCCATCCGTTCTTGAAAGAATTCAAACTCACCCTCTAGTGCATGAACTATAAAATAAATGTTTCCGCATTCGAAATTGTTTACAGAACAAATTCTCTAGATAGACACGATCATCGTTTTAAAGTAATCGTGAATTAAACGATCATGACCACTCTCACGATCCCAACTGATATCTTCAAGGACGTGTAGATCGTGAAGAAAATGATCTCTTATTTATCAATATTTGATTTACTTGTTCAACCAAATAGTCCCCAAAATCCCAATTATCATCATCGGAATGTTCATGGTTACTAGACATTTTGAGTTGGGAGAGATTAAGAGAAAGTGCAATTTGAGAATAATATATTGAAAGAGTAGGATTGTAGGAAGAAAAACACATTGAATACAAATGAAGTAGAATTTGTAGGATATATATAGATTTAAAAAAAAAAAAAAAAAAAAAAAAAAAAAAAACTCCACAGTCAAAAAAGTATTAACCGTTGAGTGCATTGAAATTTTTTTCAGGCTCAATGGCTATTTCAGTCGTTGATGTTATCCCTCACCCTCTGCGCGTTCATTCGCATATGGCTAACACATGTCGTTCGATTGGCGCGTGTCAACCACGTGCCACACCCTGTATCAACTTTGCTCCGGTGTGAACAGTCTCCCCGAAGCAAAACCCTCCCCTCCCCTCCAACCCTTCTCACCTCCTTTCTCCCATTCTTTCTCCTTGGAAAAGACCTTGGGCTTGATTTGCTATTAGGGCCAGTCACCCGGCCTCAAACTATATGACAAATTATATTGTGGACCATGGTCTACATTACAATATAAATTATGAATAAATGTTCATTTTTAATATTTTGAAGATTCATTATTTGATAATATACTAAATAATAAACGTTTAGTACACAAATAATGAACCTCCAAAAATGAACATTCAATGTATTAAAAATGAATCTTTAGTATATTAAAATTGTATCTTATGTCATTGGTCCACCTTACAAGGTGGACTATAGTCCATGATATAATGATTGCAAACTAGATAGGAAAACTTAATTATATCGTTGACTCTGTTACAATGTAGTATCGGTCCATACATACTTTCTCAACCTATTGAAATACAAAGAGTCAATGCCGCCCACTAGGATTCTCTCAACCTATTGAAGCGCATTGACCTCCCAAAAAACCTGTGACCTCCCTTAGGAGACCACAGTATGCCGCTCGATCACAAGGTCTTTAACAATTATACCATTTAATTATAAAAAGTGTCATATTAGTATTCTTTTTTTTTTGAATGCTACTAGCTCTATTACATTGTAGTATCTGTTCATATACTTTCTCAACCTATTGGAACTCACAATCTTCCAAGTGGAAGTCCAACCCGGATACCATTGGACCACATAGTCCTGGTGTCATATTAGTATTCTAATTATTAAAAGGTGCAATTAAACTCTCCAACTTAATATTTTGATGCATTTATACCCAATAACTTGAAATAATTGGTTAATAAGGATTTATTAATAACCGACAAACAGTCGCCATTGTTCGTGAAGGCAACCACGTCGGTCACCTTCTTCATATCAAAGAAGCAACTAATGGTCACCTTTTTCATCAATTGAAATAAGGCAACCAATTCGATCCAATGATAGTTGACTTGGTGGCGGCAATTTTTTTTTTTCAACAACAATCATTTTGCCGGTAACTTGCTAGTTACTAGTAAATTAAACTTATTTGATCAATTCTATTAAGTTAAATGTTTAATTGCATTGTTCGTGTACGGTTTAAAGATCTATTTACCATTTTCCCTAAAGATAAATTTACTAACACTTACAAAACACGTGTACCGTTTAGAAGCCTATTTACCATTTTCTCTAAAGATAAACTTACTAACACTTATAAAGAACAGTAAAAGTTGTGAAGTACTTTTTAAATTGCAAATATAAATGTTACAAATATTTTTAAGCATAAATAACTAAAAGCTCTCGATCACAAAATTTGGAAATTTGGGAATGTGAGGAAAAAGAAGTTGAGATCATAGACATAGTAAATCAATGTTCCCAACTACATAAAGATTTCCTTTTGATGTTACACGTAAAGATACAAAAAGAAGTTTGATAAGACATTTGGACGAGGTAAAATACACACTATCATAGTATCATGTATTACTTCGACTCTATAACACTATCATATTCTTGTATTCACTAGAGGCACATATACAAAATTGTGACAATAATGCCATTTCAGAAATATTGTATTGTGGTGACAAAATTGCACACCAAATTGATGTGCCCCAAAGTCTACTGCATGGAGATACTATAGCCCACAAGCCAAAAAGACAATGACTCACCGGATCCTGCAAATGATATGACCACCTCGCCAGAGAGACGTCTTTCCTTGAAGCTCTCACTTCCTTCGGTTCTTGTTTCTATTAATTTTCACGATCCTTCTACCAGATTTGTCATTACCGGAGCTGCCCAATGAGAAGCTCCCTCCTGTGCTGAAGCCCAGACTGCCTGGTGGTTGAAACGGGGATGGAGATGGACTGGGGGGAGCAGCTGGATTCTGTTGCCCGCTAAATTGGAATGGATTAGGCGTTGGAACAGTCGCCTGAAATAGAGATGAGTTTTGAGGAGTAGCTGGATTCTGTTGCCCGCCAAATTGGAAAGTATTAGACAGCGGAACCATTGAGCCAAATGTAACAGAAGAGGGAGGAGAAGAAGAGGCGGCTTGGCCAAATACAGAAACTGTGGGTGCAGATGACTGTACGGGATCCTCAGCCATGCTGCTGTCCTCCATATTCATCTGCTCATCGTTTCCTGGGGCAGCATCAAAGGTGGCAGTAGAACTTCCCAACATGGACGGGGATGCAGAAGTTGAAGACGCTGCTGCAAATGTAAATGCAGGACTGCTAGAGGCACCAAGAGATGATCCAAAAGCCATTGGTGCAGTATTAGAGGTGGAGAATGAAGACGAGGTTGCTCCAAAGGTGAAACCAGTAGGTGAGGGGGAAGAACCAAAGGCGGGAGATTGCCAACCTGAACCAAAAATCCCAACACCGGCACTGCTGGAAGTCATTGGGGTAGACTGTGAACCGGTTGAAGAGCTGGCATGAAAAGTGAATGTTCCAGGAGTGGCATTGCTACCGGCGCTGAAAAGACTGATTGAGGAAGTAGAAGTTCCACCGGGAGTGGCACTGATGGAAGAGGGAGAAGCAGTGCCATTAAAACCAAACCCTGTGGTGGTGACATTGGTGGAAGAAGAGGCCACAGAACTGCCACCAAAATTGAAAACTGCAGCAGTGGCACTGCTGGAAGAGGAGGCCACAGAGCTGCTACCAAAATTGAATACACCAGGAGTGGCACCACTGAAAGAGGCAAGTGGTTTGGTTTCAGGAGAAGATGTTGTAGAACTGGCACCAAAACTAAATGTAAAAGGAGCAGCTGCTGTGGAAGAAGCTGCTGAAGAACTGGAACCAAAAGAAAATACGTTGGAGATCACAGCACTGCTGGAGCCAGTAAGATTGCTCTCTGATGAAGCCGTAGAAGTTGGACCAAACATAGCACCAGAAGAAAAGGGTGTTGTAGATGAACCAGTAGAACCAAATGATGTAAGCCCAGAAGTTCCAGAGACAAGAGCTGACATTGATGAACCAAATTGGGTGGTTGTGATCTGCTGCAACCCAGTTGCACTGCCAAATCCAGGCAGAGTTGGCTTTGCATTATCAACAGAACCTCCTGCATTAAACACAGTACTCTGAAACAGGTTGCCAGTTGAAAAAGATGCTGCAGAAGAATTGCCTGCAAAAGTGCTACATTCAGGGCGTACAGCTGCTAATGACACACCTGTAAAACTTAAGGGAAGTTTATGACTAACAGATCTGAAGTTTATGAATTGAAAGTTGTTGATATGCTGAAAAAACATAAGGGAAATATAGGGCATCCATGTTTCCAAAAGGCGCTCAGGAAAACAATGATGTTATTGTACCTGCAAATATGCTGCTGCCGCCAGAGGCAGAGGTGCTTGCTGTAACATTTGTGGCAGTTACACTGGTTGTGAAAGTGGCAGCCTCACTTGGACCGCTGGTGGTAAAACCCCCATGGTTTTCACAATTACTTGAAGCCAAAATTGAGGTTGATGAGAAGCCATTACTCGGAGATAATTGGCCATTGCACACAGAGGAAGTGTTGGAAGGAGCACTCTTTGAGGAAAAAAAAGTTGCTGATGTTGCAATTGATGCAACGAATGGAACATCAACGTTATCAGCTTTTTGTGAATCAGTTTGGTCTGGAGCAAGGTTAGCCGGGCTGCAGAAAGAAGCACATACTTTTAGATACCTGACAAGTTGAATTTCAAACATGGATGGGGAGAAAAAAAGCTAATAAAGGAAACAACCCTAATTATTAAAACTTGGTCAAGTACTTTTATCTTCTATTGTTTCTCTATTTGCATATTTATTCAATGGCGCTTTCAAATACAGTATCAGGAAACAACCACTTCTCTTAGTTACTTCGATATATTTGGCTAAATTAAAACTAAGTCCTGTACTTTTATCTTCTACTGTTTCTCTATTTGTGTGTTATCCACTGACACTTTCAAATAAAGACACTTTCCAGCTTAAGTTAAATATAGAATCAAGTCTTTTCTTACCCAACCTCGCTTTTCCACAAAACTAGCCTTAACCATTCATATAGAAAAGAGTGCCTTCAAATTTTTTTACAACTTGCAACACTACTGATTTCCTATCTAATAGGAAAGGGTATTATTGTATTACACACCATCATCCTTTCTACAAAACAGAAATAATAGTACAGACAAACAGATCAATTAGAAAAATTCAGCAAGAGATGGTCAGTACCATCATTATCTATTAGACTTTACAGTATTACAAATATGCTTTGAAACAAATATGGAAAGTTTACTAATAATCTTTCCAAGAAGGCAAGAACTGTAAATTTACCTGCTTGAGCTTTCTGGCTTTGACCCATTCCAAAATATTGAACTTGACCCTTTAGTTTCAGTAACTGATGGTAGTGAAAAAGCTGTAGATAGAACTTTATTACTATATGTCTGCTCCAATTTGTCAGATACCAAGGTTGATTGGGTAACCTCTGGGGACTGGTGAGCATCAACACTAGTTGGTGAGCAAGAATTTTTTACACCTTTGATAACACCATCAGGAGTCACCTCACTGGTTCTTTTGCTCAAAAACCCGAGAGGGGTCCTAAATTCAGGAGAAGTTGAAGCTTTGTCTCCAGATAGTTCTTTACTGATAAATTGTGTGCTACCAACAAGAGAGATTTCTGCCTTCGTGATCACCTTGGTCACAGGTTTAGGTGCAGATCCAATAGATTGTACATCATGATGCAGCTGAAAAGCATTCTGCACCAAGGACTCATGGTATTAGCACCCATAACAATGTAACCCCGGCACCATCCCCTCCCCCAACCCAAAATAAAAAATAAAAAAATCTGTCTAGTGGCAGGTAGAGGCCACTAGACCAAACCCAAAACAATATAACCCCCGCACCATCCCCTCCCCCAACCCAAAAAAAAAAAAAAAAAAAAAAAAAAAAATCTGTCTAGTGGCAGGTAGAGGCCAGTATAAGGGACTATCTACAATCCAAGTATACAACCAAGCACTCGGTATCATGTAAGACAAGTTGATTTAGCATTAACAATGACAACTAGTGCACATTAATCTAAACAGCCTACTCTTTCACAATAGCCAGAAGGAGACTACAAAGTATTTGCAACCAAAGCTTTCAGAAGGGTCAAACAACTTTTAGAGTGAGTAAAGGCAGTAGAACAAATAAAACAAGAGATAGCACGAACCTCATACGAGCTTGTCTTATAGGCATGTTTCCTTTCAGGAGTTACAAAATTTTGATGCATCAGCTCATTGTTGCTTAAAGGATTTGCCATATCAACTAGCTTCTTTGTCCCATTTTCTTTAACAACGTCCAGTTTTGGCAAACCAGAAATGTGGGAATCAGGAGTGGCAGCACTGAAATGATCCTCAGACTTATAACTATCTCGGACATTCTGCAGCAGCTTTAAAGAATCTGAACCCTCATGGATTCTAACGCCTTGTCCATCAACCATGCTTGTCAATTTAGAAGGGGACTTCTCTTTCAAGGAAGCTAGTTTAGACTCGGATGACTTTTTCTTTGGAGTAAGCTTATCAAGATGCTCCAATATTTTAGCAGCCGTCTCACAAGACTTGTTAGGTACATGAGCACAACTTGTACTGGGAGTTCTATAATCCGGGTTTTCTTCAACAAAATTAGATACTTTCTGTGTTAAATGTAGATGGTGTTTAGAAACACCAGAGACTTCATGAGATAAAAGATTAGGTTTCTGCCTTATCCTCCGAATGGGTCCACCAGATCCAAGATCATCATCTAATACAGAATTCCTACGCTTTCCGGACTGAGAAAAAGCACACACCCAAAAACTAGAAGTAAGAAAAATATGTTTATAACAAGATAGTAAAGGACAGAAGAAATGAAACCCATAAATCAGTCCCGTTAAGTACCACTTGTTTAGACTGAAATGATTCATCATGCTCCACCACGGACTGAGATGATGAAGGCCTACCAAAGACATAATCCATGGAGCCACTAGCCTGGAAGTTGATAAAGGTGTATTAAATACTGATGTTCAGGAAGTAGGGCACCAGTCCAGATTGAAAAATAAAGAAAGAGATCAACCTTATTAGTTGCGCGAACTCTAGAATATGGTGTGCGAGCCATGCTGTATATAGCAGATCTACCACGGGATCTTGAAGTATTAAAACCATTTTCAGGAACCCCAACACGACCAATAGGTCTATTTGCTAATGAAATGATAGGTGATTTAGAATCATACGGCACCATTTTCAAGAGGGATGCATCTTTTCTTACTGCTTGACTGCGCAAACTCAGTGTTGATGGTGAGACCTTTGATGGCCTACTGTCCATAAAGGATTTTGCAAGCTCAGCTGGAGATGCAACATCATTTTCATGTATCTGAAGGCATTAATAGAAAATGTCAGATACACATATTTATATGAGTACCACTATCAATGATAATGCACATGGAACCAAAGGAATATCATTAAGACCATCTAGCATGCTCATCCAAAATATTGGGATAAACGACCCATGTTCTTCCAAATATTTATTCAAATATTAGGAGTTAAGTGGGGTTCCACAGCTTAATCTCAGAGGCCCAAAAGAAAAAAGTGATGTTCCACCACCTAATCTCACAGGCCCAACATGGATTGAACAGGATTGGAGGACCAATCCCCTAACAAACCAATCAAGTCCCTAATGTTTAAGAACTTACTTTTGAGCTGATGACAGGTGTTGTAAAAACTCCTCGAGATGTTAGTCTCTCAGTCTTGTTTTCTTCCAGCAAACCACCTGAAAGTACTGGAGCTGGTGTAGAATAATCAGCTTCAACTCTTCTGTCACAATCCCCAATAGAGGCATCTACCACTTTTGAATGCAAAAGTTTCGTCAGTCTACCAATTTCACATCTGCATAGTTAACCATTCTGGTTAGTAATGATCATATACATGTAGAAATCAAATTACATAAATACCAGAACAACAGACAAAAGATCAAAATAATAATATTTCCAACACTCTAAAAGGTTAACATTTCTGGTTATTAGAGATCATTAACATGATGAATCACATACATGATCAATTTCAGATCTGCAGTCAACAGTTCTGGTTATTTTTAGTCATATGCAGGCTGAAATCAAATAAAATTGACACCAGAACCACAGAAGATAACCCGAATAATAATTTCTCCAACACTCAAAAGTTAAAATTTTCTGATTACTAGTGATCATATACATGTTGGAATCCAGCATGATTCTTCACCCACAGGAAAAAAAAATAAAAATACACACACACAGAAATCCATATCAACTATAGCAGCAGGAAGAGTCAAAGCATACCTAGTGAAAGTTTTCTGCTTCAGCAATTGCTCAAGCTCAGAGAATGCATTGCTGTCAGAATGGTATGCAGTGCCATTGCTTTCATGTACTGTTGGTTGTAGAACCCCAGAATGATTCTTCACCCACAGGGAAAAAAAATAGCAAGAAAAATTGTAACTTCTATGGCCAAAATATTATGTGAGGTAAAATCATTTAATACTCCGTAATTTCTTGAGAGAATGATGGAATATGGATTAACAAACGGAAACAATTGAAATATAATAGAGACCTTAAAAAACCAAATAAGAAGTAGCAGTCATACTACTTTCAATTTTATATTTCAAGTTAAAGGATCAAAATAAAACATATATCTGTAAAGTCACTAGTTTTCTTTTTATTTGATAGTAACAAAAATGTGTTTGAATGTAAGAATATATTTCTCACGGTAGACTATGCCCCCCAAGGCAATACAATATGTGATTAGCCCCTTCAGAACTAGGCATAGAGGGTTTGCATTGTAAACCACAAGGTTAATTAACATATATACATAATGCATATTTAGAAAAAAAAAAAAAAAAAGAAAAGAAATCCCCCTCCCCTTTAAATGTAAAACAAACCTAATACTCCGTAATAACATAACCCACAGTACCAAAGACTTACAAGATAACTGAATGCCCAACAGTAAGATGCATTAACAACCCACACAGAAGTCAGAGATAAAGAAATAAAAGCAGCAGACAAAACATGAAGAATGCATTACAGTTCCATGAAAACTCATGCTACCGCCATTGCAAATACAAATAGTATTCATTTATGCTTTTAAGGAAACACATTGAGACTTACATTGGGACCTGAATCCTGAAGTACATCAATGGACTCTTGCCTTCTCTCTGTGCAGAACAAGTGTAGCAGGCCTTACATCACTAAAATGGTGAGACATCACAAGTAATAACAGTAAACATAATTTATTGAAAGAGTACTTTTTTAGACCTCTTTCACTAGTGCCAGAAAACAATGATAACACAGCAATCTACAACTACGAAAAATCACCTGATTGCTAGCATATAAAACATGATAAACAACCCGTGAAATAGATATCAGGATAACAACCTACATATTTATCGATGAATTCTTAAAGCTTATCCCCCATCTTGTTAGAGGTTTAAGTAGAGAGGTTACTACTAATATCATAATAAAATTTTAAGTGAAGGTAACTAAATACTAATTGTTACCAATACTTGAGTAATTTTATTGCTTCTCTATTACCGAAAGGACTCTAAATTACAACAATAACCGCATCTTCAAGATGCCTTTTACTTGTGCAAGGTAATATGACAAGAGGAGAATCAGACAGATAAGTTATTTTGAAACTTATCAACAACTGAGTGAACCAGAACAAAGTAATGTAATTTCCATTATAATATCCAATAACATAAAAGCACCAACTCTACAAAATTCACACGAGTCAGAAAACTCACAAAGAAAAAGGCAAGTATCACCAAAAGGCAAGTAGCAATAAGTACATGAGAATAGGAAGTAACTAAAGAAAAAAGAGAGACCAAGCAAGGACACAGCTCAATTCAGAAATGTCAATTTGGGGCCAACATTTGCATTTAAGCTTAACTCATCCAAATCCTAAATTCAGACATTTAGACTATCGCTTTTAAGAAAAGGTGAGAACTTATGCACAATACCCCCACATTATGCATGGTCAAGAAGAAAGATACATGTAACCTTGTCTTGATTTTCAGAAAGATCAGTTCAAATGCTTGAACCCATGACTCAATAGTCAATCTGTAAGCACTTGGGCAAAGCACCACACCCAAGCACCCAACTCCCTAAATCACTCCTAATTTATTTAAGAGAAGAAACTGTTCAGCAATCATTATTTATTGCATATTTCAGTTATTTGACTTTTAGCAATTACTTCTATATAGGTATCTTTAGTCAAAACACTGGAAAATGTTGTCATCCAATATAGAAAATTCAATCAAATTCGTATAAAAAATTGTAGGATATATTTTTCCTACAGAAAAACCTCAAGAAGTAAAAGAAAGCACACTTTTGATGCACATACTATAGGGTCTATGAATATAACACTACAAATAAGTTTCTAACAGTTTCAGATTTTGAACTTTCAATACATGTCAAATCACCCATTTTCATGGAAACATAAAACATCTATATATTGAAAGCTATTGAAAGTTTGAAACTACCAAATCATTTTAGGGGGGGAACCGCCTCTTTCAATTCAATTACATATCATAAAAAGGATTTTCATAAATAATCCGCAGAAACACAAAATCGAAGATATAAAAAAAAAAAACACTAAAGTAATAACAATAATTAAAATAACAAGTCACTGGATAACAAATGCAGGATTTACACACCCCCGTTATTTAATTGAGAAATAGAGTCAGCCCTAAAAAAACAGTAATTTCTAATGCAATGACAACACAAATACATAACTTTCCAAGCTCTTGTCAATTGAACCCCCGCGAGTTCAACTAATTCAAGACAGTACCTTTCTCCAAAATCAAATTAACCCTAACCGAAGACTACACACATTCAGGGAGAGAGGGGAGGACCTGGAGTTGGCGGAGAATGAAGAGGGGGAGGGAGGCGCTTGCGGAAGAGAGGAGCGAGGAAGCGCTGAGCACCGGCATTGATAAGCTTGGAGGCAGGGTCAACAACGAGCTTGGTAAGCCAACTAGGGTTTCTGAGGGCAGTGGGAGGACGATCGTAAGGCGTGGCTTGAGGCCTCCGGAGTGGCCTCTTTCGGAACTTTCCTCCGGCTCCTCCGGCGTCGTACGCCGCCGTTGGTTCGCCGTCCGTCAACATTTGTCGGAGTTGTATAGAGAGAGAAAAGAGAGCAGGGCAGCGAATAAAGACCGGCGAGAGACAATGTGAGAGAGGGAAAGTAAATTTGGGTTCATTTGGTTGTCAGACACAGAAATTGATGCCTAAAGTTGATCCAAATCCACCTTGGCAAACTACCCTCATTTCAAATTATTTAATGTTTTTATCTAAAGGAAAAAGTTTTTTTTTTTTTTTTTTTTTAGAATAAAAGGAAAAAGTGTTAAAATTGCACTTATGTTTAACAAAAAAGAGTGTAATTTGATATTTTTAGGGATTATTTGAAAACTTAAAAAATATTTTTTTGAAAATAATTTTTAGAAAATAACTCATAAAAAAAAACATTTTAATTTTATAATGTTTGATTAAAGGTCAAAAAATTATTTTTTTTATTTTGAAAAAAGGGTCAATAAGTCTCGAATTTTGATCCAATAAAATCTAAAAATTGGTTAGTGACATTCTATCAAAGGTCACTAGGATTTCAACCAACTCCGACAATATTTTGACAATAAAGTGACCAACGACCGTTCTACAGTCCTCGTTGAATCAACGGATGAGAAGACAACTTCTCACCGGAGAAGGCAACCAAGATGGTCGCCTTCCCGGCGACCTGTCACTTTATTGTCAGAAATGTCGCACGGAGTTGGTCAGAATGTTGACCGAATCGGAATCTTAATGATATGTGATAGCAGGTTACTAACCAGTTTTTGGACGTCATTGCACAAAAATACAATGTTGATGGGGGTTTAAATGCTACTTTAAAAAGTTTAGGTGCCTAATTGACTTCTTAAGTAAAGTTTGATGGCTTATTTGACCCTTTCCTTTTATGTTTGATTGAAAGTTAAGAAATTACTTTTTTGCTATACTAGTATTTGCCCCCGTGCGATGCACGGAATGAATTTGTTAAAATATTTTAAGAATATTTGGATCGATATAAATTATTATATCGAATATTATATAATGCCATTGATGAATTGAGTTGGATCGATTGTATTTTCTAATATTATCATTGCTTGAATTCGATCAAATAATTGCCCAAAATTAATAGTCAATGTGTATATGTACGCATTAAGTGCTGGAACTTTAGATGTTTTAAATATCAGTGTTCAGTGAATTATATCTAGGGATCATATTTAAGTTTTAGTGAATTATTAATATTCATTACCTTTTTCTAATTGGTCTAATTTGTTTTCCATCTTTAAGAAAATATTCCTTAGACATTCTATACATAATTTTACATCTTTATATATGCGTATTGTAATGAGGTCCTATAATTTTGAATAAAGATGTGCTACAAAATCAGTCATAATTAATTTCTTTTGAATCATTGATAGCAAGAACATTTTCATCTTTAATTACACATTTTTTCTTATACATTGTGGATAATAAACGATTATATTCAATTTTCCATTTGTAAATATATATCTTTACACAACTATATTTTCTATAACATATATACACACTTTTTTTAAAAATATTTCCAGTAACTTTACATTTTATAAAATATATAACCGAAATTAATATTTTTTCCATCTCGGCTAAACTTTTTTTTTTCCATACTCGGCTAAACCTTATAATTACACAATCCTTATATTCTTAGTATAAAATAACATTTGATGTAAAAAACATTAATTTCCATATCGATTAATATTATTTCCATATCGGCTAAACCTTATATTTCCATTTCGTATTGCAAAACATTTTTCATCTTTAATTACAAAATTTTCCTTATAAATTGTGGATACTAAATGATTCTATTTCATTTTCAATATAATTTTTAAATATATATATTTACATAACTATATTTCCGCAACATATATATATATACAGTTTTTTTTTATATTTCTAGTAACTTTATATTTTATAAAATATATAACCGAGATTAATATTCTTTCTATATATTGAGTCAGTTTGGAAGAAGAAGAAGAAGGAGGAGGAGGAGGAGGAGGAGGAGGAGGACCCTTGTATAATCCGGACCCCCGGGTTCATATAATCCATCAATATTGATTGGCATATTGTAACCCTGTCGACATAGGTGGGATGGTGGTCTGGAATTTCAGATGATTATGATGACCCATATGGAAGAAGAAGATATGATGATGATGATGATGATGATGATGATGATGATGATGATGATGATGATGATGATGATGATGATGATGATGATGATGATATGATGATGATGATGATGATGATGATGATGATGATGATGATGATGATGATGATGATGATGATGATGATGATGATGATGATATGATGATGATGATGATGATGATGATGATATGATGATGATGATGATGATGATGATGATGATGATGATGATGATGATGATGATGATGATGATGATGATGATGAATGATGATGATGATGATGATGATGATGATGATGATGATGATGATGATGATTGATGATGATGATGATGATGAATGATGATGATGATGATGATGATGATGATGATGATGATGATGATGATGATGATGATGATGATGATGATGATGATATGATGATGATGATGATGATGATGATGATGATGATGATGATGATGATGATGATGATGATGATGATGATGATGATGATGATGATGATGATGATGATGATGATGATGATATGATGATGATGATGATGATGATGATGATGATGATGATGATGATGATGATGATGATGATGATGATGATGATGATGATGATGATGATGATGATGATGATGATGATGATGATGATGATGATGATGATGATGATGAATGATGATGATGATGATGATGATGATGATGATGATATGATGATGATGATGATGATGATGATGATGATGATGATATGATGATGATGATGATGATGATGATGATGATGATGATGATGATGATGATGATGATGATGATGATGATGATGATGATGATGATGATGATGATGATGATGATGATGATGATATGATGATGATGATGATGATGATGATGATGATGATGATGATGATGATAAAAAAAAAATTAGAATGAAGAAGACGCAGAATCGTGATTTTAATTTGTTTTTCTTTAATTTAATTTTTTTTATTTATGCTTATGTTGCAGCCAAGTACCCACTCCAACGCTTATGTGGCGCGTCATAGGGGCAATTACCGGCTTTTACTGGAGAAGTTACCGGCTAATGGGGTTAACTGACCAAAAATCGTGTATTCATGTGTTCAATTGACCTTTTTAAAAGTTCCTAGGGCTAATTGACTTTTCGCAAAATGTTTAGGGGCCTATTTGACCATTTTCTCTAAATAAATTGGATGCACATAATATGTTAACTGAATGCACATAATATATCAACTGAATGCACATAATATGTAGTTATTATGTGTTTATAGTTAATACTAGTTTTGTACGCGCATTGCGCAATTGGCATAATGCCCAATACTTATTTTTTAATAAGTACTTTAAAGTATATCAAGACAAGATTAAATTAGAATTGTTCATGCATAGATAATTGACTGTCGAATTTGCGTATTTAAATAAGTAATTCTAAGTTTACAAATGCAAGATAATATAGTCAAGATTGATTATAATTGTCAAATAAAATAATTGTATAGGTATGGTTGAAACCAAATACGGGACATAAGAGAGAGCAAATAAAAATTAGGGCATAAAATATTAAATATATACTAATATTGAAGAGCTAATTGCTGATTACCAAACAACCAAACAAGGACATTGCGAGGTAGTTTCCCACTTCAATTTGTTGTGTGATTTGAATACTCTTTTTGTCAATAAATCCCCCAAGTAGTAAATATGATTGACTTAATTATATTATTTTTTTTTAAAACAATTATTATTATTATTATTATTATTATTATTATTATTATTATTAATTATTAAATATATGTATACCCTTAGGTCATTTTACATGTTAATTTAAACAGCTAATTTTTTCAAATATCTTTTTACCAATCGTTAATATAATTCGCTGGTCAAATCCGCTAACGCTAATCGCTAATTGCTGATTGTCAAACAAGGACATTGCGAGATAGTTGTCACTTCAATTTGTTGTGTGATTTGAATACTCTCTTTGTCAACAAATCCCTCAAGTAGTTAATATGATTGACTTTATTAATTATATTTTTTATTTTTTATGGTATTAATAAAATACTTGGTAAATAAATATATAGCATTATTTTGTATTATAACTTTGATATTTAATTAAAAAAAATAGTGCAAAAAAAAAAGATAATAGACAATGTAGTGAATATAATCAATTGATGAATTTGAATGTAAAGAATTTTTACATTGGAGAAAAATAAAGACAATATAACTAATAAAACTACTTCTCTTAATTAATTTATTGATAATGAATATTTTAAAAAAAAAATAAAGACATTGTAGGGACAATGTAGCGAATATAATCAATTGATGAATTTGAATGTAAAGAATTTTTATATTGGAGAAGAATAAAGACAATATAACTAATGAAATTATTTATGTTATTTAATTTATTGATAATGAATAATTTTTTTGAATAAAGACATTGTAGACACATAATTCTAAATTAAAGAAATGCATATGTATTATTTTTTGTTGTAGCTACTAAATTATTATTTAATTTAATAAGAGTAAAATAGTGTACTAATTATGTCAACTTTGATTAGGATGGGGTTCGAACCTAAGACCTTTCTTATATTGAAATCAATGACTAAGTTAATGGTGAACTAACAGAAATTAACGAAAAAATTAACGGATAATCATATTCATTAAGGATAAATTAGTAAATCTTAAGGAAAAATTAAAATCTGATCAATTTGAGCCATTCATTTGATTAAAAAATTTGTCCGCCATTTTTTGTACCCATTATAGGCCTAACTCTCTTGGGCTCTTATTAGTATAGTAGAAATTATGTACTTTCAATTTATTTAAAGGCACATAATTTATTAAATGAATGCACATAAATGTTTTTTGAAGGATAAAGCTGCAGTGTGTGTATGTGTGTGTGTGTGTATATATATATATATATATATATATATATATATATATATATATATATATATAAACAAAAATGTCATTTTTTCGCTTATTGTAGACAAAAATATTTAGTTTGAAATTTGAAATCAGTCAACATAACATTACAATACGTAACAAAATTAACAAATTAAGAT